ATATTTTTTTTTTTTTCCCCCCACAGTTTTTAAGGTTTGTTAATAATCAACAACAGCTAATCACATAGCAAAATACATTTCTGGCTGAAAACAACAAGCCTTACCATCAGTTGAAGGCCACATTTTGGCTTTCATTGTGGCTCAAATACTGATGTCCATAGAAAAGTTTAGTTTCATTTCAAACCATACCATACCTGATATGTTCTGATCCACCAGTGTGGGAACTATAGCCCGTTTTACTGTTCGTAAACAACAGTATGACATTTTTTGGTGGGCGGCGCTTAGCTGGAGGTAAAACAATTCTCCACAGACAGTGTGGAGCGTCAGACTGAACTTACGAATGCACCATGTCAGGTCACTCACTCTCTGGGACCAGTAATGTTACTTGTAGTCTCGCTCACCAGACCTTTCTCAAAAAAAGAAAGGTCTGGCTGGGCCGACTCTCACTGTGAGATTGGAGAAAAAAAACGCCTCGGCTGCTTGTACTTCTTTCAACCAATCACAATCGTTCTGGGCGGTGCCACAGCAACGGTGCGCTTGCAAAAATATTGCCGGGGGGAAACAGGTTTTGGTGTAACACGCCCACAAAAATATCACCTACAGGACGCGAACCATGGCAGAAAAATGGCTACATCCCCTCAAGATCAAACACTGCAAAAGTTAGTAAAGGACGTGTTGAAAATGGTTGAAAACTGCTACACAACCGGAGGTGGTAGGGCGGGACTTCAGCAGGTGGCTCATTCCGCCCAATGAGAGGCTGATCTATGCAGCGAACTTCCGCCCACTCAGACTATGTTACTTGAAAAAGTACACTGACTAACAGGACCGGACTGGCCGACCCGTATGCTCTCACTCGGTGGATGGATGATGTCACAGGAAGCTTTGTGGTTGGTTACTATGCCAATCTTACAAAGGAGACACTTGAACGGTTCCCTCCAGTTTGTTTTGCTAACGAAGCTAACATTAGCTAATGCGCTAAAAAGTTAGCGTTACGGAGAAACCTCTTAATACATCCCCAGTTTCTGATGAGGTGGACATGATATGTCTCAAAGAGAGGAGGGACTTTGACTGTAATTGCTAACATGTAGGCTCACTTGCTTCATGTCTGCACATGTGAGTTACAAAAGTTTGTTTTCGGCTTATCTCTGATCTGTCATGCTACAATGATGTTGGCAGGAACAGATGAATCACCTTCATGCTTGAATCATACATCAATACTAGCCTAATTTAATGCATAATTCATGATGATGATGATACAGAAAAATAAAAATGAATGTCAAAAATAGGATATTGCTGATGATTTAGCGACCGACTAAAGTTTCACAGGTAGTGTTTTCAGAGGAGCTCATGTCAGCTCCTCTGTAGTTCACACCCTGTGATCCAATAAAGTTAGGCACGATACGAGGTGAATAAACCTCCGTTTTTATTATCTTCACCACCATTTTGAGAGGGAGCCAACTCAGCTCTCCTATCTGCATATTGTCTCCCTTTCATTGCACCACACTGGACACACAGCCCGACCTGCACTCCCTGCTGCCCACAGACACACCTGGCAGAGATCTGCACTCTGCTGATGCCACGTTTTTGTAGTTTCTGGTGTTTTCCACTTGAACATGTGCATAAAAACAGCAGATTGAAACGCTTTCATTTCCCCTGCTGTCCAAAAACACAACAAAAGCTTGTCAACGAGCTACAGTGTGCTGCGGAGATTACTATCACTTGTATCGGGAGAGTGGCCTCACCCATGACTCTGGCGTGAACTTTAACTTTAACACAGACGTCCTCGTTGGTCTCGCTCAGCAGCAGCACCTCCTCACACAGAACGCCCTCGTGCTGGGCCATGTACTCACACGTCACCTTCAGACCTCCTGGGGAACACACAGAAGAAGAAGAGGGATTGGGTTTCGTTTTTACCTCGCACACAGTTTCTTTGTCTACATACATTAAACACACACAGGTAAACATAAAGTCACACCTGCTGCTGTCCACACCAGCTCCAGATACAGACACAGAGTGCATAGTAATATAAAAGGTGTGACAGTAAAGGTCAGTAACCTGCTTCAGTTACAGGCATTTAGTGACCTCCACTCCCGGAAACATAAAGAGGATCACCTCTGACCCAAATCAGCAGGTTAAGTGGTGAGATGGAATCCAGTACACACATATTCAAGTTGTCTGCCTCATTGGTGTTTGGAGTTTACCACCTCTGACAGCTTGAGTAACAAGAATCCACACACAGGAAGGAGAGTGTGTACGTGAGGATCGTTTTTATTACTCCTCAGAGACGGACTGCTGGGCTAACATTGTCCCAACTGTCTGTTCCTGTAATCCTGTGCCATCTGCTCCTCCACACAGCCTGTAACAATGCTGCTGAGAATTACATGCAGGGTATTTAGCATCAGGTCTGCCTCCAACAAAAACAGGCACGTACTGCTTTTGTATTTGTGTGCGACACTCGGAGTGAATGTTGCATCGTATATATGGCTCAGGGAAGATGAGGCACTTTGTGACAGTTAAAGGGATAGTTTGGGTTTTTTGAAGTGGGGTTGTATGAGGTACTTATCCGCTGTCAGTGTATTATCTACAATAGATGGTGGTCAGCATGCCCCCAGTTTGGAGAGGCAGGCTGGAGTACCGCCACAGCAGCTAAGCATTGTAGTGTTGTGGATGGGGGCCAAGCAAAATGTGTTTTTAGCCAACTAAAAAATCAATATCAGTTTAAGAAAACGCTGTATATATATATTTTTTGCTTTACCTGAAGCCATGCTCTCTTCAAAGCCAGACTTCATTGACAGCTCCCAAATACAAAATATGTCCCCTGGGATCAATATATATAAATCAACAGGTGATTTCCTTCTCTTCGAAAAAATCCTGAATGGTTGTTTTCGGATCTTTATGCTCTGCCATTTCTCCTCTAATAATCACGCTGTAACCTGTGACAAGCTGCTATGATACCACAACTGTCGCACATTCACATATATGTAGGTTGTTTGTCAAGCTGCAAGCATCATATAGGTTTACATTACCAAAGGTTTATGACAAAATGACTTGAGACGCTGTGCTGCTGCCAGAGAAGCCGCTGAATGAGTTCCCTCTGAGCGGTCACTTGCTTAAAGACTCTGACAAGTCCGGGGCTGTTCATAAAATATTCAAGACGCCAAAGTTTATTCCACGCTACTGAAGCTGCTCCTCTTTTTGGAACCACCATGGAGTCGTTAATAATTTTGCTTTCAGCCATGCTTGACGTTGCCGTGGGTAACAGTATGACGTCATATGTCAACAAGTCGAAATATCTAAAGTATCACAATATGAATTTTTCATATGGTATTAGAAATGATACCGGTTTATCATGAGCGAGATAATATGGCACACTGACTATAAGTGCCTCATACAACTTTTTCTTGAAGAAAACTACTTTAAAGGGGATTTAAGTAATGAATGACATTCTGGAGCTCTGTTTGCAGCTTGTAGAAACATTCCCAAAAGAGCAGTGTGATAATATTGCTTTACGTAATGAGTTTACAGAGTGTGAAGACAAGGTAAGAAGATAAGACGTGAGTGTATTCATTCTCCGTGGGAAACTGTCGTGCAGCAACTGCAATACAAAGTAGTAGAGGGGTCAAAGGTCAGAAATTCACCAATAAATTAGCTTATTGCAGATATATTGGTGTCAATGTAGATGTCCATCCAACAGGTGACATCAAGTTGCAGTACAGAAAGGCCAACCTAGGTTTGAGATCATTTACAAACATTGTCAAGATTACAGATTGTCCATTAGGGAGTGTTGGCAAGGGGATTTTCCAACTGGAAAGTAAGAAAGTAAAAATCAAAGGGGTTATTTTTCGTGCTTTTGCTAAAAAAAAAAAAAAAAAAAAAAAAGACATTATACACCATTATTGGTCTTTTAAAAATTCAATACTAATTCTATATTAGCCTTAAAATACAGTTTCAGCTGGCTTGTAGGCTATTACAAACAAATCAGTGAAACTGCAGTGTGGAACTTTTTTCTCTTCCCTCTGGCAGTGAGAGTCGTTACACAAACACTGTCAACGTGTGTACACAGCGTGTGTACATAACGTATGCCTGCAGGTGAGCTCACCGCATCTTTCTTGCCCACAGGAGCGTTTTCTTCAAGGCTTTTTATGGCTTTAATCCCCTGGATGCCAAATATCTTTTTTTTTTGTCTGGAGCATCCACTCCAGAAACTGGAGTGCTGCCTGCTGCTCCATTGGTGTCTTCCCCCCTGTCTGCACCCTTTAACTTCTGCTGGTGCAGGAAAGTCACCACAGACACCACAGCTCCAATATATACACAGCTTTTTGTGGTAGCAATAATTCGACTGATGTTCATTTATATGTAAGAGAGAGTGCCATCACTGTGGCAGCACGGCTCAACACATGAGAAGAGAAACGGAAGTTAGGAAAGCAGACAAACAGAAAAAGTTAAAAGGACGTTATATTAGTATTAGTGAGAATATTAGTACGTTTCTTCTGTAGCATGGGCTCTGTAGCAGAAACGGTTCTTAATTTCTTGTTGTTGTTCGCAAGAGCACATTGAGTATCATTTGTTCTTTCACATCAGATTGTGGTGCTAACGTGCTAACTTTACTTCCTTCTTGAATCTGTCCTGTCAGTCTTCCTGTCACTTATTTTCAAATTAAAGTTTTCAGTCAGAAATCAGTTACAAAGTGCAGGAACATAATCCACACAGTGTGTACACAGCATGAGAGAGAACAGGCTGAGGCACTGAGCTTAGGGCAACACTTCCCCCGTCAACCCTCAGCCCCCTCCTGTGTGGAAAGTATCTGCTTTCATGCAGTTAGGGACCGTCCCACGAGGAACACAGGAGCCTCCCTTTGAACGTCTGCAGTCCCAAAAGCTGCAGAGCATGACGCAAAAAATGATCACTGAATCAGATCAGGAGTTAAATTCACTCTGTGCTGTCTCAACTTATCAACCTCCTCACTTCTCTGTCATGGTGATCATGAACAACTCAGTGTGCACATGCTGAATTTGACACGTACTATATGTGAAACAGTTGTGATGGAACATTTCACAGTGGGACAGTTTGGACTACACACTTACTTTAGGTCCATTGTGTATCTCACTTTGCTGGATTTGCTCACTATTAAAAAATATTTATGCAACTGATATGAATACAAATGCATTGGTGGTTCAGTGGTAGAATTCTCGCCTGCCACGCGGGAGGCCCGGGTTCGATTCCCGGCCAATGCAACACACTTTTCTTTGCCTTTCCACCCCTCTCCCATAAAAGCTCTGCACTACAGTGACAGTACATCAATGACCAATGACTTTCTCCTACTAGTGCAGCTATATTATGCCTACAGGTATGGTAAGAGTGGTTTTCAAGACATTTTTGCACCGCAGACTGGTTTTACAACACTGTTGAGGACTGTCCGAAGAGGGGGAGGTTTTACAAGTACAGTTGTGCTGGCCTAGGGTCTAGGACATGTCCCCTTCACTGGAGATCATAAAACACTGGGTAAGCCCTTCTGGCACAGCTCCTAAATGTTTCAGGTCTTACTGAACTGGTTGACAATTCTGTGGCCATGGATGACCACTCTGATAACATGGACCTGACATGTGGTGTCCCACAAGGGCTCTACCTTAGGCCCAGTTCTTTTCAGCCTATATATGTTACCACCTGGCGTTATCATTAGAAACTACAAAATCAGTTTCCAAATTTATGCAGACAATACCCAGCTATATATATCTCTGTAAGCTCAAATGATTACAGTCCTATTAATGACTTGATTGCATGCATCTCTGACATAAATCTGTGGAGGACACTAAACTTCTTACAGTTAAATCAAGACAAAACTGAAATAGTAGTTACTAGAGCAAAAGCTAAGAGAAAATTAGAATTACCACTTCGTGGCTGTAAGTAACACAGTAACAGTCAAGTAACAGATTACACCCCTCTCTGTCCAGACTTATTTGTAGCCATGACAGTTGACAACACCTCAAACATGGATGGTACTGCAAAACTAAACACAAATGCATCACACATCTTAAATGCAACAGCATAGAAGATCTCAACAATCACCACAGTTTCAAAATGGGCACCCAATATTACTGTCACCAATTCAGTATCTGACCAAATGTCTCCCCTCCTGTCTCTAACTTATGATGTTGAATTATGCCCAGAACAAAAGGTCATAGTGACCTTTGACTATTGAATTCTAATCACCTATGTGTCCGAATGAACGTTTGTGCCAAATTTGGAGAAATTACCTCAAGGCATTCTTGAGATATCACGTTCACAAGAATGAGATAGACGAGGTCACAGTGACCTTGATCTTTGACCACCCTCTCTCGTTACTCATTTTTACAGAATAAAGCTTCAATGCACTTAAATGTACCTCAACGCAATCTCCCTTAGCTGTTAGTTGCCACCACCAGCTGCTACCAATATTAACTAGTAAGTAAGTAAAGTTTATTTATATAGCACCCTTCACAGATTATAAAATCACAAAGTGCTTCACAATAAAAGCAAAAACACAGACAATAATACAATGAAAAAACAATTAAAAAAAAAAGGTCACAAATAAAACAAACCCATAAGAAGCAATAAAAGGAGGTAAAACATTTAATCAGTCAGCCAAAGGCCTGTCTGAATAAAAATGTTTTAAGTTGCTTTACAAAAATAGTACAGGAGTCTGTGGATCTCAGAGAGAAGGGGAGAGCGTTCCAGAGTTTGGGAGCAACAGCTTGAAAAGCACGGTCTCCTTGGGTTTTAAAATGGGTCCTAGGGATGGTGAGTAAAATCTGGTCAGAGGACTAAGAGTCAGATTGGTCAAGTACGGGAGAAGGAGGTCGGCAATGTACTGTGGCATCTGACCATGTAAAGCTCTGAAAGTTAAAACCAAAATTTTAAAATTAACGCAGAATTTGATCGGTAGCCAGTGCAGTGAGGATAAAATTGGCGTGATATGTGATCTCTTGTTACTACTGATTAAAAGCCGAGCAGCTGCATTTTGGACAATTTGGAGCTGGTTCAAAGTAGTTTGGTTTAAACAGGTAAAAAGAGCATTACAATAATCTAAACTAGCTCTCCTCCTTAAGATTTACCGACCCAACCCTGGCAAACATTGACTGTAAATGGCGCTGAAGCTAAGGTTGAAATCACTTCCTGTCAGCCTTTATTATGGTAGTCCCCTTTCTTGTATAGTTTAGCGCCCGGCTAGAGTGGGAACAAGGCACTGTGTCATTTAATGTTTCATGATATTGTATGGTGATAATGTGTCTTTAATTGACTTGATGGTAAGCGAGTGTTAAAATTTTAAATATATCGCTGTCGCAGTAGTCATACTAAAAATAGGCTTGTGCTTCATGGAATATCAGTAACATCATGGTGATCAAATCAAATAAATCATCAACGATGGTGTTCAAATAATATGGATGATGGCTGAACATAATTAAAGACTTTTGAAAACATCAGCATGCTTCACCATTGTCTGGCTTGAGGTTTGCTACATTGCCTGACACAGACGTTCGGGTGATAAATGGGTGCGTTGAACACCACAAAGAGTTTCTATTAACGTCATTACTGTAACCCTAACCTCATTTTCTGGAAGCGCTGTGACCGCAGTGCACCTGCCTTCATTAGCAGCTTTATTTATTTAGCCAGAACCAGTTAAACAGGGGCAGAGAGACCACAGTCCCACCAGTAAATTAGCCTCAAGCTACTGAGAACAACAAAGCTGTCAGTTCATTGTTTGGTAGGCTTTAACAGAAACCAGAGCAGGCATGGTGTTAAGTTCTTTTTAGACACACACTCTGCTCTGTTTAATCATGTTTTGTTTTCTCCTCATCCTCTCATGATCTTACCCTCTGGTGCCGGTGTGATATCAGTGATCCGGAGGTGTGGACTAGGCACTGGTGCTGGACACACGTCCTTCCCCAGAGCTGGGACCTCGGGCAAGGTGAACACTACTTCATACCGGTGCTGCGTCTTCAGGAAGCCAACCTGCAGTGTAAGGGAGACAGAGCTGTGAGGGCAAGAGTCAAGTAAAGATTTAGCGATTAAGATGAAAAACAAAGGCTGTCTTTCTCTCTCCTAAAACTTTGGACTAATCCGACTGGTACACAGGGAGAGAGGGATTTATAGAGAGGCAAAAAGGCTTTGGCTTGGCCTCACATTCTATAGTGTAAGTCCACTACAGCTCAATAAATAAAGGATTAATCTCTATGAGGAACATGGATAAGTAATTCTCCTGAGCACTACACTGTTTGAGTTTTTCTTGAGGGAGTCGTCTAATTGAAATCATTAGTTATTGCTCTGGCGATCTTAATCCCCCTACCCTCTGCCAAATTGGCAATTTTAGCCAGACGGGAAATAAAACAGAGGTACCTCTTGGATTTCACTCAGCCCCAAAACCTTCCAATAATACTAATCCCTTGTGAATAGAAGTGGCTGTAATTCAAGAGCTTAATCCAAACGTGGTTACACCTTCCTCAGAGGTTTGAGACTCTCCAAAGCTCCACCACCCAAACACAGCCTCTCCGTGGCAGCAACAAACAAGTTGAGCATTTCTGACCTTAGCTGATGTTTAGCATAGCCAGAGCTAGAACTACAACAATTAGTGGGTCAACAGAAAGTTAATGTGCAACTTTTTTTTTTATTAATAATTAATTTTTCAAGGAAAAAACATTGGGCGAGAGGCAGGGTACACCCTGGACATTCACACCTACGGACAATTTAGAGTCACCAGTTAACCTGCATCTCTTTGGACTGTGGGAGGAAGCCAGAGTACTAGGACTGGGCGATATGGACATAAATCAATATCTCTGTATTTACAGGCTGACTAGCAATACACAATATATATCTTGGTATTTTCTATGAAATAGGCTTCATGTTTTAAGCTGCAAGTCAAAGCCACATTTGAGATGTCACAAGCACTTTTATAAAAATGGACTGTGATCAAAATAAAATGCAAAGACAGGGACTTTATTCCCTGTTATACAACAGTTAGTTCCGGCCCTGCAATCTGATTGGTCGAGAGACAGTAAAACCGTGATGATATTGGAGTACAACATCACGGTTATTTCACTGTTTATGTATCACTCCACCTCACAGCTGATTGCAATCAACAATCAAATCAAAACTGACGGTTAGTCTCAGTTAGGTCAGCAGTTGCGTTGTAGGCTAATTAATTCATCCACTGTCAAACAGCCAAAAATATGGATTTATTTCCTAAAATAAGTTTTGAATTGAACTATGAATGGTCATCAGAGGAAGATGAGGGAGAGGAGAAGCTGAATCCATCTGAGCACACATCCAGGTTTGTCAGTGTTTCTTGCTTTAAAATATATCGATATATCGGCCAGACCTACGGAGTACCCCGAGAAAACCCACGCTAACACGGGGAGAACGTGCAAACTCCACACAGAAGGGCTCCCCCACCCTGGGGTTCGAACCAGGAACCCTCTTGCTGTGAGGCGACAGTGCTAAACACTGCTGCCAAAAATCACAGACAGCACCAACAAAAATGTAAACATGTCATATCTGGGACACATTCTCTGGAGATGTGGTTTACAAACAGTAGCTGACAATTACTGCACAGTAAACTTTTAACAGTTTCAGTCATTTTCCAATTTCAGCTTCTCAGATATGAAGATGTTGCTTTTTTCTGATTTACATCACTGAGCTTTGAACATCCTCGGGTTTTGGGTCTGCTGGTCAGATAAAACAAGTCATTTAAACATTGACACTGACATTTTACAAACTAAATGCTTGACTGATTAATTGGAAAAAATACTGAGTTAAATAAAACTCAGAAGAAAGAAATGGAAACCAGGCACCCAATTTTTGCACACAGAGCTGATGCATCCAAACACTGTTATCTCCTGTTGCTGCTGCACAATTCACACCTTTTCAGTTCACACTACCCATATGCAAAATTTATAAGGCAACTATATGGAAGGGAAGTGAGAGGAAGAGCAACAGACAGGTGGGGAGAGGCAAGTGATGTAGAGCTAGCTGCTGAACTTTTAGCAAAGAGAAAAATTCATGAGGGAATGGTCACAGAGAGGAGTGAAGAAAGCCTTACAGAGGAGTCCGGATAACAAAGAGAGACAGCGAGAGAGAGAGGAGGCTGCAGGAAGAGCCGGCAATGAGAGATAAGCCTAAAGCCCCTCCAGCTATGAGCTGCAAACGGCAGTTTCGGCCCCGCATGACCCCTGGTTGGAGCAGCAGAGCAGAGGCTGCACACAGCATGAAGCGAGACAGGAGAAAGGGAACACTGAGGGAGCGCTGCAGAGAAAAACAATAATCATTCTGTGAGCGTAGTCCCACGCATGTCCAGGCGCTGTGAACTGCCTCTGAAAAATTGATTTAATTTGAATTTCATGCTGCAGATTTGGACCAGCGGAGAGATTTCTGCCATGATAGAGACCAAGAAGTGATCAAGGAGTGAATCAATGTGAAACATTTCAGTCAGTAAGTAATTTAAGGTCTCGTTTGTGAGCGCACTACTGAGCGGTGACACTAACATGTCATTTCTAAAGATGTGTAACACTGAGAGTCGGACACACCCAGAGTCACAAACGACTCATCGCTCCTCCGAAACAATGGTGCAATTCTTTAACCAACTTGGAGAGGAAATACCACACACTGTTTGAACTTGTATGTCAAATTCACAGATAGATCCAGTCACACAACACTCTTAACAAAAGAGAAACTGGAGATTCTTACATGTGAGATGACGATTTGTAACTTCCTTTAAAGTGTTGGTTTACAGCTGTTGGCCATGCTAGAATACAAAATTACTTGTGGTGTGACTCCAGATGACAACTCAGTGAAGTCATTTTCATTCACTCAAAAGTGCTAGCATGCATCTTAAAGGGATAGTTCAGATTTTTTTTAAAAAGTGGGGTTGTATGGGGTTTATCCATAGACAATATTTAAATTTAACACCAGTAGATGTCAGTTGGCACTCCCCCAGTTCGGAGAAGCAGGCTGAAGTCCAAAATCTGGAGGCGAAGCAATGCACTGCTGCAGATGGGAGCAGCAACAAAACGTAGTTGAGCCAACTACAGAATCAATTAGTTTAAGTGTACACTAACTTTAGAATATCTTAATCAATCAATCAATCAATCAATTTTATTTATAAAGCCCAATATCACAAATCACAATTTGCCTCACAGGGCTTTACAGCATACGACATCCCTCTGTCCTTTGGACCCTCGCAGCGGATAAGGAAAAACTCCCCCCAAAAAAACCCTTTAACGGGGAAAAAAAATGGTAGAAACCTCAGGAAGAGCAACTGAGGAGGGATCCCTCTTCCAGGACGGACAGACGTGCAATAGATGTCGTACAGAACAGATCAGCATAATAAATTAACAGTAATCCGTATGACACAATGAGACAGAAAGAGAGAGAGACAGAGAAAGAGACAGAGAGAGAGATGCAGGTAATGACAGTAGCTTACAACAACATTATTGAAAGTAATAATATTATAGTTATAGTTCTGGCTACTGTGGTACAATATGTTGAAAGTATGTATTAATATCTGTCAGTATACTTGTGTGACAATAGTCATATGTGTATAATAACAGTAGAAGTATGACTAATGACTAATGATGGCAGCAGCAGCAGGAGGCATCTGGCAGGACCACGGCAGCAGCACAACCACACACGTCACGCTGTCCGGGCACCGCTGCGGTATGAGTTAATCTGAGAGACAGTGGAGCACAAAGGCTCCAGAGAAGAAGCCGAGTTAGTGACATCCAGAATGGCCGAGTTAGCAAGATGCAGTAATAGAATACGAGAGAGAGAGAGAGAGAAGGAGAGAAGGTGCCCGGTGTATTATGGGGGTTCCTCCGGCAGACTAGGCCTAAGTCAGCCTAACTAGGGGCTGGTACAGGGCAAGCCTGAGCCAGCCCTAACTATAAGCTTTATCAAAGAGGAAAGTCTTAAGTCTAGTCTTAAATGTGGAGACGGTGTCTGCCTCCCGGACCGTAACAGGAAGATGATTCCACAGGAGAGGAGCCTGATAGCTGAAGGCTCTGGCTCCTGATCTGCTTTTGGAGACTTTAGGGACCACGAGTAACCCTGCGTTCTCAGAGCGCAGTGTTCTGGTGTGATAATATGGCACTATGAGCTCACTAAGATATGACGGAGCTTGACCATTTAGAGCTTTATAAGTTAACAGTAGGATTTTAAATTCAATTCTGGATTTTACAGGGAGCCAGTGCAGAGAAGCTAAAACAGGAGAAATATGATCTTGTTTCTTAGTTCCTGTTAGTACACGTGCTGCTGCATTCTGAATTAGCTGGAGAGTTTTTAAGGACTTACTAGAGCTACCTGATAATAGAGAGTTACAGTAATCCAGCCTTGAGGTAACAAAAGCGTGGACCAATTTTTCTGCATCTTTTCGGGTCAGGATAGGCCTAATTTTGCAGTCTGTGAGGTTTGCATTTTTTCATCTGCGTAATATTGTGAAAATTAGGCCGCTTGCAGACTTTCAGAACAGTACCCGAGCTGACATCACAAAATGACCACATGCAGCAAAACACAGGCAACATCAACAACGATACTGTTAAAATATGATCGGATTAGCACAGATGAGCACTACAACCATGGTCCAATCTGCTAAAATTGAATTGAATTGAAGTTGGTTGCAAACATGTTTAGCTAGCTAACGTCGCCAGAGAGCTGTCCACTAATTTATATAATGGCTCGCTTTGTACATCAACAGTGTCATCACGATACGATACTATATCAATTATTTGGACAACGATATGATATTTTCCGATATTACAAAGTGTTCCTCGATACGCTTTCAATTCGATGCGATTTAGGGGTGTGCGTGAGTTATTAGACAATATCATCTGCCCTACTAATACCGTCTATAACAGAAAACGCTGCCACCTCTTTATTTTCTACTTTTGGTCGTAAAACATTAAAAGAAGAAACACATAACAGGTGCAGCAAAGTTCACTTTAAACTGACTCCACTAACACACA